TATCATGCAAGCACATCTTATATATTAGTTGAGGCCAGCATTGCAGCAGTTAAACAAGATAACTGATTAAAATATAGACAGTAGAACAATATTCTATCTTGCTTATATAATTTAACTTGTGATTTTGAAGAGACAAAGTATTCTGTAGATTATTACAGATCATGCAAATCTTTGTTTGTTCATGAAGTGCACAAACAAGATGGTACAATAATAATATATAAGGTGGATTGAGATTTTCAGAATATATAACTTTGAGATTCTCTACCATTCTGGAAAGTATAATCCAGCTGACACACTATCATAAAGACTGGACTATGTCAAACTAGAAGAAAATATCAGTCTGCCAACATATACACTCAAATAATGTGATGCAGATAGTGTTTCAGAGTGGGACCCATTCAAAGAAACTTTCTTTGACAAAGAAGATATTCAAAAACAACATGATACAGATGGTGTTCTAGAGTAGAACTCATTTAAAGGAACTTTTTTTAATGAAGAAGATATCCAAAGACAATGTAATATAGATGATGTTCCAGAGTAAGGCCCATTTGAAGAAACTTTCTTTGATAAAGAAGATATTCAAGAATATGCTACTTGCACTATTCAAAGCAGCACAGTAGAGATGGCACAGAAGAGACCTGATGGCATCAAGATGATAGTTAAGTCAGTTCAAGAAGCACTAGCCAGAGATGCTGGAGAGACTCAATATAGAAATTACAGGAGATTCTAGATTCCCTATATATGTGTAAACATGGTGATGAAAGATGAAAAGATCTATAATAAACTAACCGTGAGTGTGTTGAACCTGTTACTAGAAGCACAGGAAAACAATCTCTCTATACAAGTGAGATTCACCAAGACAGAATTCTAGCAGTCAGAGTAGAAGATAGAGATGAATGAGATCTTTTAATAAAGGACAGCAGAATCTATATTTCCAGTGATTCAGCTCTTAGACAGAAACTACTACAAGTTCACCACAATAATCCATTTGCTGGTTACTTTAATGTAGTGAAGACATTTATCTTACTCTGATAAAAATACAAATGACACTTAATAAGACAAGACATCTAGAGATACATATATGAATGCCAAACCTGCTAATAAGAGAAGACTTTGATATATAAACCATATGGGCTGCTTACTTTGTTACTGACATCCAGTAATTTCTGGCATTTAATATTTATAAACTTTATAACAGATCTTTCTCTGAGTGAAAAGAAGAGAAATTCATACAATGCAGTTCTGGTTATCATGAATTAATTTATAAAGCTTGCACATTTTCTTGCATGTAAAAAGAAGATTGATGTACCAGAGATAGCAAACCTCTTGCTGAAGAAGATATTTAAGAACTTCAGATTTTCAGATGATATTATCTCAGATTAAAGATCTGTCTTTATAAGTAAATATTGATTAGGGCTATGTTTCTATATGAAAGTTAGACATAAACTTAGCACAGCTTTTCATTCACAAACAGACAGCCAAACAGAGACACTGAACAAGATCTTGAAGAAATATCTTCATATCTATTATGGTTATAGGCAAGATAATTGAGAGAAATAGCTTGTATATGCAGAGTTTGCATATAACAGATCAGAACACTCTGTAATACATATGTCTCTATTTAGAGTAATATACAGCTTTAAATCTAGAGAACCAGATGAGATTCAGAAGTTAACTGATGATGTACAGATGATATTCAACAGAAGACTGAGAATAATCTTCATATTAAGAGATAGTTTGGTAGAATATTTAACAAAAGTAAAAGAAGATCAAGCATGATTCTATAACTTTAAATAACAAAATAAGATGTATGCATCTGATAACAAAGTGATATTGTTATCAAGAAACTTATAAATGATATACTTCTGTAAAAAGTTAGATAATAAGTACTACAGACTCTTATTAGTGGTAGAGACTGTACAAAATAATGTATATTAACTGAAGCTCTCTTCAAGCTATCAGATTCATAATATCTTTTATATCTCATTGTTGAAACTGTATTACATAAGAAAGAGTGAGACATTAATACATTCTCCTGCAGTACTGGTAAATGATTATTATAAGTGGAAAGTAGATAAAATCTTGAACAACAAAATACATTATTGTAAGAAATGTTATCTAGTGAAATGAAAGAGATTCTCTATTAAGAAATTGATGTGAAAATCTGAGGAAAATCTTGAAAATACACAAGAAGTTCTTAAGAATTATCTATAAAAGAAGCAAAGTTATTCTAAGATGAACAAATCTACATACAAAAAGAAGACTAGACATGCTAAAGATTATCACATATAACAAAACCAAACAACTAATAACAAGAAGAGGTACCATGAAAGCACTCAAAATGCAGCCACAATAGAGACAAACCAGCTAAAGATAAATGTGATTCTGAAGTTACCAGAACTGATAATATAATGATAAATGGTACTGCAACAGAAGTAGGCTTAACAAATAAAGAATTATGAGAAGAATAAATTACATCTACAACACTTCAGAAACCAGAGAAGATAATTGTTATGTATTTGCATGACACTCTTGAATCTTTAGGAGTTGAACAGTATTATAGTAAGTAATAACAGATTGAAGTAGTGATTAATAGTTCAATAATGCTTTGGTTGAGCTGGCAGTCTTGCTCTGATGACAAAGAGTTTCCATGCAGGTATAACAGAGTCAGAGCAAGACTATGAAGTCTTCTCAAGAGTAGCAGGATCAGGTACAATCATACAGTATTACAGAACTTCAGTAGTATGGAAAGTAATCAAGATATAAAAGTATCTAATTTAAAGATATCTAGTAGATAAGTAAGAAGATTAATTATGATGAACAAGTTCATCAGATCTCTGGTAATGAGTATTTTTATATACATGATGCTTTTCTGATGATAGTCCTAGTAAGCTGTTCTATCTGTTCTACCACAATATATTTGCTATATTCTTTAATTAATTCTATTGTGCTCAGTGCAATCAGTTAGCTTATCAGTTCTATTGTTAATTATATAATTCTTGTCTTAAAGTTCTTTCACAATAGTCTGTAATTCTGTCTTGTCAGATTTCATTCAATCATTCTGTATATTCTGTTATTGTGCTGCAGAATTCATAACATCATTTTCTTCTTTTACAGTATATTGTCCTTAATTACTCTATCTGTTACTTTTGAGAGTATTAAAGCAGGGTATGATGGGATGTCTCATCAAGATAAGCAAGTTGGTTGATGTGGTGAGAGTGCAAGAAAGGTCAAAAATCACAACATAGTAAGGATAGTAATGGTCAAGTTGTAAGAACAGAGAAGCATGCCTTAACAGATGCCTAAGCTTATAAGAAATAATAGTAGTAAAGAGCCTATACTAATACAGGCAGCTCTAATAAGAAACAGTAGCAAGCTTCATGAATAAGAGATCTTCATATTCTCTAACTAATAACCAAACTAATAATAAATAACAAGTGAGTAGTAAGATGCAAAGGTGCATGAAGATGTTGAGTAAGATGCAAGAGCTATGAGTGGTTTATATAGCTTAGAGATAGTAGCTGGAGGGGGTTTTGCATCTTGGACCAGAACAATCTTTATCCTAATATAATACCAGAATTCCCACTATATTTTCTTCTGGCTTTCAATATTGGTGTTCTCTGACAACAAGCAATATATGAAACAAAACAAAGGCAATTTAGTAAAGAAAATAAGAGAATAAGAAATAGTAACAATCTGGTAAAAAAAGAGATAGGAAATAAGAATAAAGAGAGTGATAGCAGCAATTTCTAATAGTAATTATCATGATCCTCTTCTTTCATCAAGTTCTTGGAAGAAGGAGAAGACTGAACTGATGCTGGATCAATATTGTTATGCATGCAATGCCAATAGAATTTCTTATCAAAAGCTTTCTTTTCAATTTGGTATGTCTTGACAATGACATTCAAGGCACTTTGTGTGGCCTTTAGATGCCAGTTATTAATGAAGTCCTGAGCCTTCTTCTCTTCTGGTCCAAAGAGGGTATTGAGCTTCTCAATCATTATAGAGTTGTTTCACCTAATTTGGCCTACCAAGGTATCTAATATAGCTTCTAAGTCTTGCAATTGAATAGCAGTAGGGAATCAATATGGAACTGATGTGTAATAGTTTGAATGACTGGAGAATGATGATAGTCCTGAAACTAGATCTCTATATGTGGTGGAGAGCTGTGATCAGATACCAGCTTTATTGACTTCAAGATGTTCATAGTTCTTCTGAATTGCCACATACCAGGGAAGCATAGTATGCTGGATCTTTTTGCATGGACTGTGAGCTTCATGAGGCAGCAGAGGGCTTGTAATTCAGATATTACCAGATTTGCAAATGATATTGATTCATCTAATATCAAATTTTCTTTTGTTGTCTTTGATATACATTGTATTCTTAATGCAGTAAACATAGTCATCAGTGGATAAGCCTTATTCTTTGACTAGTTCTCATCAATTCTCTAGATGATTATGCATTTCTGACAAGATTTCTGTGCAGTTGCTGGACTTTTCTGCAGTTAAAGTCAAGAATTCTTGTATCATGTTAACACCTCTTTCAGTAGTAATAGTGTCTGGAACATTGACATTAATATAGTGAAATCTTGTTTTATTTCCTGGCTTTGCATACTTGATGTAATATGAATAAGAGATTAATTTTCAAGTGTGGTTGGGTCTTATCAGCATGTATTAAAGATAGTATGCAGGATTCTGGTGTATAAGTTGTTGGCTGATACTGTGATACATTGTTCTCAGCCATCTGTAATTGTTGTGACCTTCTATTATTTGTTGGTAATGGTAGTACATGTCATATTCATTATTGACCTGAGTGAGTACTGTAGTGATGGTGTCTTGTAACTTATTGTTCCACCAGTGCATTAGCTGGAGAATAATGACAGATCCAGTAGTTTTCCATTTCTTTTGAAGATTGCTGCTGGTGAACTTGTTAACTTCAGTAATCTTCATGTATTGGTTGAAGTTGAATGTTTTCATGTTTGTGACCAGAGAGATAATTGACTAATGTTTGAATTTGTAAATGCTTAAAGCATCTTCAGCTCTAGCTGGTCTATTTGCTAAATGGAACCAGAGGTAGATGTTGTTATTGATCTTGACTGAGCTAATGTTATAATAATTTCTATGAATGTGAGCCAAATGGTTGAGAAGCTCCTTTCTATTAAGTATGTAAGTTTGCAACCTGAGTTTTGAAGCTATTAGTTTTTTATGATTATAGTATAGGTAGATATCAGCTTTCTTATTGCTAAATACCTTTTTTAATTGCTCCAGAATGTGAATAAGCTCCAATTCTGAATGCATTTTAGTACTCTTTATTTTTTGCAGGAGTTGCTGTTTAAATTCATGACAATGGCAAGTACCAGAGTGTACTGCCATGACAGATTCTTTGCACTTGTGTTGAGATATCTCTTCATTACTTTCAGAAGAAATAATAAACTTGTTATTGTTGTCTAAGTCTTGAAGAATTTGGTGTGCTGATATGGCTGTAATTCTTTCACTGTAGTGCTTTGGAGCTTCTGATTGGCTGGATGGATTGGCCAGTGTGCTGGTGAATTCAAATGATAGCTGTGATGGGTCAGTCTCAAATCTATTTGATCTAATCAACATTGTGCTATATATAGAGGCTTCTGACATGTTGCAGCTATGTGGTATAGACATTTCACTCATTGGAATGTCTCTTGATGATCTTGGAGACTGTGATTCTTCTAGTAGATCTTGGAGACTGCTTGCAGTGGAAGAACTTCTAGTGATATTCTGAATTGAATGTTGGGAGCTAGATGACTGTGAAAGAGTCAACAGCTGTAGAAGACTGTAGTTGCTAATAATAAGATCTTGCTGGTGTAGAGCATCTCTTGAAGAAAGTTTGCATATGTAATCAACTTCTTTATTAGCTGTAGTATAATTGTCTGGCAATATAGCTAAGCTCTGGTGATATCTAGCTTCTGTAGCATCTAGTCTTCAGAGCACTGTACTGTTAATATTATTGGTAAACTTATCCCAATTCTTGTAGATATTTAGAGTATAGTGAAGCTTTTATACTGCCCACAAGCTCTTCACTTTTGATCATATGACATTAATTCTCTTAATATCTCATGTAGTGACAAGCCTATTCTTGATCTTTTACATATTAATGTGATGTTATTTGACATCCAGGGTAATCTTTTGAGCATCATGGAAATTGGCTTTGAAATTAGTGTATATAATATATTGCCAAGCTCTAGATCTTTTAACATATTAATAGAAATGAGCCACTAAGTTAGTAATCATGTCAGTCACTTGCATTAGTGTATTTATTAGCTCAATCTGTAGGCTGTAGCAATAGTATGGAGCTTGATTATTGATATATTCTATAGCTGCTATTAGATTATTGAAGAAATGGCCATTCAGATTGACTTCATTATCTCTGGTAATAACCAGGCCTTGGTTTTCAGGTGCAGGATCTAGAGGAGGCAAGTTGCTTTGTCCAGCTATTTTGAAGAATATCAGTAATCTACAAAGAATTGTGAATGTCAGAATAATAAAGTAGAAGCCAAGAAGAAGTGTGAAAAATGTTAAATCTGCAAAAAGAATCAAGCTTGAATATAAAAAACAGTAAAGCTTTAGAAAAGAAAAATCAGTCTTTAAATATCTCTCAAAAAATCTAGAAAAAGTGAAGGCTTCTGCAAATAACAAAGAAAGAGAAACTTTCTGAATAAGCAAGCAAAAACTTCACTCTGCAGACAAATAAAAGAAACTTTCCAAAAGAGCAAGCAAAAACTTTACTTTTGCAAACAAAACATAACAAATTAAACATCTTGTGGAGGTATAACAACAGTAAAGCTCCAGTCATCTGATATAATAGTTAATAATCATGTTTGCTTCATTTTTTCTTGATTATTTTCATTTTCACTCTGATCTTGGTCATCATCCCTTCTATTCAAGGAGCTAACATCTGAGAAACTACTAAAGAGAATATTAGGCTGGCTTCTGGTGGCATATCTTTAAGAAACATTCTTCATCTCTTTATCTGAATCTGCTGAACTATTACTGAACTGCTTTATTCCAGATCTTATAAGATACTTCTTTAATCTGCTTCCTGCAATAGATTCTTTGATTTCAGTGCTGTCTAACTCTTCAAGATGATAGGAATCTAGTTCTTGATTAATGGACTTAATTCTATAGAGTTCTAGTCATTGAAAGTGCAGAATGTTGTTTCTAGACATATTTTGTTCTTCTTTGATATTGTAAAGTAAGACAAGATCTCTGGATTGAAGAGAATTAATCTAAATATTATAGATATCATTAAAGTATTTCTTATTCTTAGTGTGCATTTGAAGCTGATAATGTGCTGCTTTCAGAACATTCTCATCTTGTTATTCAATTTGGCATGCACACATCAGAAGACAGTCTTCAGTCATTTGAATGTTTTGTCATGGAATTGTTTGTTAAGTGGGAATCTTGAGTTCAACTGGAAGAACTGTCTCCTGGCCTATTAGTAATCTATAAGAGAAGACACCAGTACTAGCCTTAGTTGTCATTTGATCTATCATCAGAATTGCAGGAAGATATTTAATTTAATCTCTTCCAGTATTATTAGTGGCTTTAGCTAATCTATTAGTTAAAGACTTATGACCAACTTTCATCATATCATTTGCAGGAGAATTATAGAGCAAAATAACAATATATTTGAAGTTGAATTTCTTCAGTAAGATCTTCACAACATTCTTATTCTCTGGTTCTCCATCCATAACAAATTTGGCAGGCAAGCCCTATTGACAGATGATATTTTCATAAAGAAATTTGGCCACAGCTTCAGCTGTTACCTTCTTTAATGCTCTAGCTTTCACTCATTCAGTAAAGTTGCATCTTGCAATAACCAAATAATTTTGTTTTTGACAGAAAGGCATATGTTTGATATCTATTCCAACTTTCTCTTAACAGATAGAAGTTCAGGTAAGATGAAGCTCTTCACTTAATCTTTGTAAATCTCTTTGTTAACATTGAGAACAGTGCTTCACATAAGCAGACATGTCTTTATACATTTCTGATCACCAGTATTGAGCTTGTAAAATAAAGTATGTTCTCTCTCACTCTTTATGATTAAATTTGTCATGCATCATGTGTAAAATTTGTTTGCATTGTTCTTTATTATTTACAATACATCTTAGAGATACATCAGATCCTGCTCATCTAAATAGTTGATCAGCCTCCACTACATATTTAATTACTTTCTTTCAGAATCTCATGTACTCTTTTTCTTCCATGTCCAATGATTTTGATAGAGTGGTTAGGTATTGTGCAATTTTCTCCAATTCTTCTGAATATGTAGAGTCCAGTATCCTAAGGTCTTTACTATTGAGAGCTAAGCCAGCTAAAACTCTTATAGAATTTATAAAGGCAAACAGATCTTTGTCTTCTTCAGATTCAGATTGTTCTTCAGTATCTAGTTCTTGGTGAGACAGTCTGTCAGCAGCTGTGTGTTTTGTTTCAGGAACATGTTTAACAGTAAAGTTAAAGAGATATATTCAAGCTATTCAATTAGTAATCAAAGCTCCTGGAACATCTGTAGCAGTTCTATTAAGTGGGGTAACAAGAGTTTTTGCATTGATTTTCAAGATAAAGAGTACTCCATAGATATGATGTTAGAATTTCTTGAAGACTTTCAAAACAGCTTTGCATTCTTGTTTGCCAGCATCATATGTTTTCTCTGAATTATTCCATACTCCAGATTTGTATTGTGCAGAATGTTGAGTTTCTTGTTGCTTCTGAATAATGCATTCTTCCCATTCTAATTCACTGGCATTAACAGCCACAGTAATAAGCAAAGGATCTTGTCTATAATTGATTGGAAGAATGATAGAGAATGAACATAACTTTTCTTTCAAAAGTATAAAGATGTCATTTTGCTCTTTAGTTCATGATCATATAATGTTTTGTTGAAGCAGATAATGTAAAGGTTTGATTATCCAACTGTAATGCTCTATAAGTATTTGGAAATATCCAGCAAGCTCTAGAAATTCTTGTAATTCTGTAATGCTTATAGAAGTAGGCCAATTTGCAATTTTAGCCATCTTGGCTTTCTCAGGTTGTTGTCTGTCATAGTTGCAGATTCATCTATAAAGACTTGAGTAATCTCTGGAAAAACTTCTTGTATAATCTTCATTATCCTGTGTTAAGCTGGAGCTGGTGAATTTGTTGCCTCTTGGACTAAAGTTGTATGGTGAAAGAGCCTAATAGAAATTGCAATGGCTGTCATATTCCTGCTCTCTTTAACTAATGGAAAATTATTGTATTCAGAGAACAAGTTGTATAGGCTAGCCATAATAAGTCTGCTGAAGTCTTCAGTGTATTTGTCAACATTAGAAGAAATAAAAGCATTCTGAATAGTAACTTTATTGTATATATGTGCTGTGTTGACTAAATGACATTTTTCTTTCTGTTTCTTTGCAACCAGAAAATAGAGATTAGTATATGAACCATGGCAAGGCTTCAATGTTTTAGCTTCTAATCTGTCCTGAATGATTTTAATTAGCTTATCATGTAGAGCACAAGAAATTTAATAAGTCTTAGTCTGTCAAGCTTCATGAGACTCTGTCTTAATAATCTATAAAGGCAAGCATTCAGAATAAACATTATATAGATCTTTGAATGACCATGCCAATGCCCCTTCATATTTATAAAGAACTGATATGAAAAATTTCTTCTTCTGACTTGTTAGTTCAAAACCAATTTTGAGCTTCTCAATTCTCTTATTTATTAGCTGTTCTCCAACAGGAAAAGATGCAATTCTAGATCTAATATAGTTATCAAATTTACAATTAAATGTGATGTATTTCTTCTCAGAGTAATACTTATTCAAACAAACATCCATTTAATTATCTAGATCTTCTGGCTTGCTTCCATCAGATTTTCCAGATGTTAATAGTCTTATCTTATCAGCTTTCTGCTTATAAGCAGTGCACACTCTCCAGACTTCTGAAGAAGATAGTCTGATGTTCCAGCCACTATTGAAAATGTTAACTTGACACAATTTCTTTATGACAAAATTGTGATTTTTGTTTAGAGATGTGTAAATTAATCAAGCACTTTGTGGAATAGGTTTTCAAATTAAGCTGGAATTAATATTGTGTGTGTAATGTTTGCAGTGAGCTGTAATACTGTCCAGATTAGGAAGCAGAGAACAGAAAATCCAAACTTCTGATGCAAAATTATTCTTGTCCTCTGATTGATCCATTTGATTCACCAGTGTGCTGGTTAATTTAATTAGACTTAGTGTACTTTTGAATTCACCATTGCTGGAACTATGTTTCTCCTTATTACTGTAGTTACTAATGTTGGTACTGCTGCCAATGCTTCTGACTTTTTTATTCTTTTCAACCTCCTGATCTTCAACCTTCTCATTATTAATTCTTATACTTATTGTCTTTGTTGCATTTTCTTCATTCTTATCAGGTCTTGTATTCATAAGCATTTATCTGATTAAATACCTATTGAATTATTTAAATAATTGCTGTTTAATTTATTAGTTGCATATCTTATATTGCTTGAGTTTGGCTTAAAGTCTTCAAAAACTAGATAATGTGTTCATTCCTCATTATAAATTTCACAGTTTACTTCTCCATTATCTG